GTCCAGCCCAGTAGCCACTTTGTTCAAACAGATACAATCAGCACTACTTCATAGGCAATCTCCTTTGTATATAACTCATATCAGAGCACATTCAGGCCTTCCCGGGCCTATGACCCAAGGCAACCACCTGGCAGACCTCGCAACCAGAAATATAGCTTTTCCCCTGCTAGACCCTATCACCACAGCTTCAAAATTCCATACACAATTTCATGTCACTGCCGAAACACTGCGCAAGCGGTTTAGCATAACCAGGGCCGAAGCTAGGAACATTGTCCTTAGCTGCCAACATTGCTGCAGCTTCCTTCCCACACCTCATGTTGGGATCAACCCCAGAGGTATTAGGCCTTTACAAGTTTGGCAAATGGATGTGACGCATATTTCGTCTTTTGGGAAACTGAAATATGTACATGTATCCGTGGATACTTGTTCAGGAGTCATCTTTGCCTCCCCATTGTCAGGAGAGAAAGCTTCCCATGTCATCCAGCACTGCCTTGAAGCTTGGAGCGCATGGGGGTTACCACAGATTCTGAAAACAGACAATGGCCCAGCCTATACCTCTACAAAATTTGCTCAATTTTGTCATCACATGGGGATAAAACATATCACTGGCCTTCCCTACAACCCACAGGGTCAAGGGATTGTGGAACGCGCGAACCGCACGCTCAAATCCTATTTACTTAAACAAAAAGGGGGAATTGAAGATATACCCCCCACACCAAAAACTGCCATAGCCCTAGCACTTTTCACTATAAATTTTTTGAATCTGGATGCTCAAGGCCATACAGCAGCGGATCGCCATAATCAGTGGCCAAAAGACCCACAAGAACTAGTAAAATGGAAGGACGTGTTATCTAACCAATGGAAGGGCCCGGATCCAATCATAATCAGATCCAGGGGAGCTGTGTGTGTTTTCCCCCAGGGTGAAGAAAATCCCTTCTGGATCCCGGAGCGCCTAACGAGGAAAGTCCTAAACAAAGGAGATGACTTCGCTGTACCTCCTGACCCTGCTCCTGACACTGGAGACCCCGACTCAGGGAGTATTGAGATGGGGAATCCTGTCTGCCTTTCCTAAGCCTATGCCTGTCCGTTTCAATGCAGCCGTTTTTCCGCGCTTTTTCACTACCAATGCTAGTATGAACTTGCCCTACTTAGTTAAAGACACCCTAGTAGCTCCCCTGGGAGAAAACCGATCCTTCGTAACTAATGGGTCATTATGCTTCACCACTCAGAATCTAGCTGGCTGTATCTCCCTGAAACGGAGGAAATACGGATGGTTCAGTGACATAATTCTAGAGGCCAGTAGCCTCCCCGTTATGTCAGCTAAATTTGAAGGGCCTAATAAGGAAGGGAGCCCGCCCTATAAGAACATGACTATCCACCAGATGGTTCTCTGGATCAATGGCACATTTGTACACTCTCCCAGGAACAATTCCACCGACAGGCCTCGTCAACCCAAATATGCCTCCCATTGTGTGGGCGACTATGAGGGAGAGCTGTGGCCCTGGACTGACTGTCAGTCAACTGTAGTAACGTGGGCAACTGAGAGGCAGGAGTTTACCATCTCCCCAGATATGGAGGGACGGCCAGCCAATGAGGCTTGGTGGCCAGTAAAGGTGCTCGAAGGCGAGTTTCGTCAGCAGCTGAGCATGAACCCCTTCCATAAATGGATGCTGTGTGGAGTCAATGGCTCGTGTACCGACCTCTCCCCCTTTTCCGCCCTCCAGGGTGGGGGAATCGGTGTAAAAAATATCACCTTTTGGTGCGAGAATAACCACATGCGCGCACACTGGAACATGATCATGACCCATAACAACGAGAACTACACGTGTTCAGCAAAATCAGGTCCAGAGTCACCTAATTCCCTTTTTCCACCTTCTCCAGTATGCGTATACCCCCCATTTCTGTTTATCTTATCCAATAGTAGCTTTGACTCCTGCTCCAATGAAACCTGCTTTCTGTCTCAGTGTTGGGATGCGCGTAACTTTACCAATGCTTTGGTAGTCCGCATCCCCCGTTGGGTCCCTGTTCCCGTAGACGCCCCTAACACCATGACTCTGTTTCGAGAAAGGCGCGATTTCGGTGTTACAGCCGCCATAGTGCTCCTGATCTCCGCGACCGCGGTCGCAGCCACCGCCGCTGGTATAGCTTTAGACACCTCCATCAAATCGGCTACAGAGCTCAATAACCTTGCAGCCTCAGTAGCTTCTGCCCTGGACCAACAGTCCACACTTGATGGCAAACTGAAAGGAGGAATAATGATCCTCAATCAACGCATAGATCTCGTGGAGGAACAAATGGAGGTGCTCTGGCAAATGGCCCAATTGGGATGTGAGCGGAAATATCGTGCCCTCTGCATCACTAGCATTCAATATAAAAATTTTACACGGGCAGCTAATCTGTCACGAGACCTGTCCCAGTATCTTTCAGGAAACTGGTCCCAAGACTTCGATGGGACACTAGAAGAGCTGCGGCGAGAAATTATCCACATCAACTCCACCCGTCTAGATATCTCCGTAGCGGAAGGACTCTCTTCCTGGTTCCTCAGAGCTCTCTCCCACGTCAAGGAGTGGGCGGGCATGGCTGGGATGGGCGTGTTCCTGCTTGGAGGTCTCATGCTCTTACTCTGGTTGTTATGCAGACTCCGCAACCAACATAAGCAGGACAAGGTGATCCTTGCTCAAGCCCTAATGGCGATAGACGTTGGCGCCTCTCCCCAAGTGTGGCTCAACATGCTTAAGAAGGAAGCTCGGCTTTAGCTTGAGGTAGCTCTTGCACCCTGAGCCCATGTGGCACTGCACCAGGCCCGAGTACCTCAATGCTTAATCACAGCTTTCTTTAAGAAGCTCATGGTGCAAGAGGGTTGAGAAAAAGGGTCCAAACCCTTTGTACCAAGCGGTCCCAACGCCAGCCAGAGGATGCGAGGCAAAGCACTGCAAGAGGTCTTGGACCCCTCTGAGAGGCATGCCTGACTGCATAGGGGTAGATGCCCAGAACCCCTCTCCAAAAAGGGGGCATCAGGAAGTATGATGGAGGTCAGGCCTCTGTCTCCGCCTCTGCTGGCAAGTTCCGCCTTGAGCTTCTGTTAGACAAAAAAGGGGGAGATGTTGGCAGCCGCGCTCAGAAAATAGCGCCCCATGCAGGGCAGCCGGAAGGCCCCGAACTTCCTAATGACAAATCATCCCACACCACTAAACTACATGCTAATTGCGCCTTGGCATAAGGACCAATGAGACCCACCAAATGGTTATGCTAATAAGGCATATGGAGCCGCACCAACCAGGTCAGAGCATGAGAACTATATAAGCAAGCCTCTCCTTCCCCTCTGGGTCCTGCCCAACTCATTTGTTTCACAAAGAGCTGAAGAATAAAGCTTTCTGCAGAAGAATCCTGCTGTTGTTGCATGCTGTTCTTGCCGGCGAGGACAGGGCACGCGACACATTACATTTTATTTCCACAAAAAGAATAAGAGAGACCTGACCTGAGACAAATATGGTGAAATGTTTTTTGTGGTTTCTTTTTAGAGTAAAACCACATCATGGGGGTGAAATAGCAAAGTACACAATGGGAGGAAACCTCCATAAGGACAAATTATCCAATTTCTTAAACAAGTAAATTACAAGGAAGGGAAATAACCAGAGGGATGGGACATCTGCAGCTTTACAGAGGTTTAGAGGAGCTCTGCTTCTGCTGTGGCCCAGTCAGCCTCACTGCATCGGACCTGTCCGTACACAGCGACTAAAGACTGAGGACAAGAGCGAAACCAAACCGAGCCAAAGCAATTACCACGGGACATCAGAGAATGAGCACCACAGGCAGTGTCTGCAAGACAGTCGACTCACCCTCTGGAGGGTGAGCAGCAGCCCGTGGGCCACAGGGTGGCTGACAGTCCAGTGGTAAATCTGCAGCCATTCTGACCTGAAAACAGGACAGAGTTCAGGCAAACCACAGCTGCTAGAAAGTGAAGGAAGAATTCTGGAACAAAGAGGAGCCAGAGAGAAAGACCCCCAAATTCTTTGTGTAAAGTATCTCCCAGTCTCTAGCTTACCCTATACTGCATGTGGACAGGCGGCCTCAAAACAACTCCACAAAGTGTAAAGAACTGAACTGAGATTAGAGCTGCATCCAAAGAGACAATCTAAAATCTGGGTCTAATGAAGCAGATATATTGTCCACTAAAGTGAAACAAATTTGTTAAAAACACTCTTCAGAGGATTGTAATAGAGTTTAGAATCTCCACAACATAACACTCACAGTGTCTGTGTTACAGTAAAATATTATTTTTTATCCTTAGACATTAATCTCAAGATGACCCAGATACCTGTACAGCAGACAAGAATTTTAAAACAGCTATCATAAGTATGCTCAATGATATAAAACAGAAGTCAGGAAGCTTTCCTGAAAAAGGTCAGATAGCAAATATTTTGATCTTCTTGGGTCATATCTCAGAATCTCTACACTGCCCCACTCTGCAGTTGTGCCGTGAAAGCAGTTATAGACGATATGCAAACAAAGGATCTGGCTGTTTTGCACTAAAACTTTGTTTACAAAAACAGCTAAATGAGGCCAGCAGACCGTCATTTGCTGACTCCTGACTCAAAGAAAAATATTGTCACAATGAATGTAAAGATAGAAAATCTCAGCAGAGAAATAGAAACTATAACAAGAACCAAGAGAAAATTCTACAGTTGGAAAACATGATGCCTAACATAGAAAAATTCACTGGATTGAGCTTAATAGCAGAATATAGATGACAGTGAAGCAGCAAGTGAACTTGAGGAGAGACCAATAGAAATGATTCAATCTGAAGAATAGGGAAAATAAAAACCAATAGAGCCCCGACCAATGGGACAATATCAAAAAGTCTAACATAAATGCAATTTGAGTCCCAGAAGGACCGGAGACAGAGAGAGGGAGAGAGAGAGAACTGAAGAACTAATAGCTTAAACTCAATAATAGGAAAACAAATAATCCTAATTTTTAAAATGGGCAGAAAAACTTACCTGGCAGTGGAGAAAGCATGACTACAAATGCGGTTTTCCCAGATCCAGGCTCGTCCATTTCGAGGCCCTGCCGTTCCACCGCATGTGCCGGCAGGGGGCAGCATTCACTCTCTCCCCTGGAAAAAAATAGACAACACACCAGACCTCACCAAAGAAGATACACACTGATGACAAACAAGCCACGTAATTCTTGAGTCAAAGAAACTATCACCAGAAAAATCAGAAAATATTTTGAACTAAATGACAAAAAAAAATATCAAAATTTCTGGGCTTACAGCTAAGGCAATGCTTAGAGAGAAATTTACAATTTTAAATGCTTACATTAAAAAAGAAGTAATGTCTAAAGTTAATTGCCTACTGATCTACCTTAATAAGCCAGAAAACCAAAAACACAGTAAATTCAATGTAAGTAGAAGAAAGGAAATGATAAAATTACGTCCAGAAATCAGTAAAATTAAGAACAATATTTAAAACAGCAAGGCCAAAAAGTGATTCTTGATTCTTTTAAAAGATGAACAAAATTTACATACCTTAGCTAGAGTAATTAAGAAAAAACAGAAATAACACAAGGTAGCAATATAGGAATGAAAGAGGAGCTATTATAACAAAACCTAACAGCATTAAAATAATAAAAGAATACTGTAAACAATGTCAGGCTTACAAATTTAATAACATAGAATAAAGGAACATATTCCTTGAAAAATATAACTTACCAAACTGAAACAAGATGACAAAATAGAAAATATAAACAGAATTGTGTCTATTAAAGAAATTGAATCATTTTTTAAAGTCACACAAAAATTCTATACTCAGGTATTTTCCACTGCTAAATTCTATCAAATACTTAATGAACAAATATACCAATCTTACATAAATTCTTTCAAAGAACAGAACAGGATGTAACCTTTTCCAAATCATTTTATCACTTAAAGTCACTGGAACTCTAATTCTAAAACTTGAAAAATATGTTTTAAAAATTACAGGCAAATAGTCTTCATTTAAATGGATGGAAAAATCCATAAGAAAATATTAGCCCATTCAATCTAGCTGTAATGAAAAGGATAATACATCATGACTAAGTAGGACTTATTCCAGCAATGCAAAATGGGTTTAACATTAGAAAAGCAATGTAATTCACATGTTAGCATAATAAAGGACAACCATAGTTCAGAAAATTCAGGAAAACATTAGAAAAAAACCTCGACACTCATAATAAAAACTCTCAGTAAACTAGGAATAATAAGGAAATTATTCAATCTGATAATGGGCATCTATTTAAAAAAAAACCTATCCTTTATATCCTGCTTAATGGTGTCCCATAAGATTGGGAACAGAGTAATACCAAACCTATTCAACATTGTACTGGAGATCCTAGACACTACAATAAGGCAAGAAAAAGAAATAAAAGGCATACAAATCTAAAGAGAAGAATTAAAATTGATTCTTTTCTTGATGATAAGATTGTTTAGATAGAAAATCCTTTAGAATCTACAGCTACTAGAACCTGAAAGTGAATTTAGCAATTTTACAAAATACAAAATGCTATACAAAATTTAGTTGTATTTTGCATATTAAGAGCAAACAATGGGAAATAAAACCTTAAAATAGTGTTTCCCCCACTGTGAAATTATTACTAATAAATTTTCATAAGATATACAAGCTTTCTACCCTAAGAACTATAAACATTGCTGAGAGAAACTAGGGAACATTTAAATAAATAGAGAAAAATATCAAACTCATGAACTGGAAGACTCACTATACTGAAGATATCAATTCCTTCCCACATACGTCTATAGCATGGATTGGCACATTTTTTCTTAAAGGGTTAAATAGTAAATATTTTGGGCTTGTGTACCATACAGTCTCTGCTGCAACTACTTAACTCTGTCACTGTAGAGTAAAATAAGCCATAATGAATAAATAAATAAACAGCCAGGGCTGTGTTCCAATAGTACTTTTATATACAAAATAGGTGACTGGCTGCCACAGGCCAGAGTGCCAAACCCAAATTTATAAATTGTACACAGTTCAGATCATATTCCTAGCAGGATTTTTGTGGAAATTTTGATTCTAAAGTTTATTTGAAACTTTGAAGAACTGAGAATATCCAAAGCAATCTTGGAAATGAAGAACAAAGACACTTACATTCTGTTACTTTACAATCCACTCTGAAGCCACAGCACTCAAGACAATGTGGTGCCGGCAAGAGGATCTACACACAGTGGGATAGAGTACAGAGCCCAGAAAAATACCCATATTTATGCAGTCAGTAAGCTTTGGAACAGGCACCAAAGCGATCTGATGAAGAAAAGAATACCTTTTCAAAAAAGGGTCTGGAACTGCCAGATGTCATTATGGAAAAAGTGAACCTCAATTCCCATCACATAACATATAAAATTCGAAATTAGTTCAAGATGTATGGTAGCTATAAACATTAAAAAAGCTAAAGCCATAAACTTTTAGAGAAAAACAGGTTTTGGGGGGTAGACAAAAGTTTCTTAGGTCACAGAAAATAACAATAAAATAAAAATTGATAAGTGAAACTGTTGGATTCCCCTGAGGAAGGCGCCGCCCCAAATCACTCACCAAAGACGTTTCTTGATGCAACAAGCAAGAGGAATTTATTCGGAAGCCAACTAGTTGGGGTCCAAGTCAGCCCGTCGCAGCAGGTCTCAACGAAGACCCTGAGCACTTACAACTAAGTGGTTATATAGGATTTTCTGAGGCATTCAGCCCTAGAGGATTACCATGGTTACAGGTTGTTTTGTAATAACAAGATAACAATACTACATAGCAAGATAACAATACTACAAAGGCAGTAATTTTTCAAACCTACGATTTCTGGGTTAGTGCCACGTCCTGGGGGTGTAGCAAGGTAGGGTCGGCATTTATGATTAACTAACCGAGAGGTTAGCGCTGCCAGCAGTCATGATTGATTAACTTGTTTTTCCAGAGGAGTTACCTGGTTTCAGTTGTTCCCTCTGAGTCATATATCAGAATGGCTTTTTGGGCTTCAAGATGGCTACTCTTAGGCTAACTTATTTCTCAGGGAGGTTGGGGTCCTACAAAACTATTAAATAAAAAAACACTTGTTCATCATCAGTATCCATGAAGGAAATGAACAAGCAAACTGTACTGGGAAAAAATATTCACAAAATGTGTATGTGAAAAGAGATGGTAGTCAGAATATATTTTTTAAATTCCTGCATTCAATAATGCAAAGACTGAAAACTAAATTTTAAAATAGGCAAAAGATCAGAACAGGTGCTTCACTGAAGGAGATGAATGAATAACCAATAAACACATGAAAAGTACCCAACATTGGACTTAGGGGCATTATAATTAGCACTCACAATACAGGCAGGTCGTGGGAAAGGCAGGACAGCATGGAGGGGCAGTGGTGACTACAGCACCTCATTCGCTGATGGGCGGTGACTGCAGTGGGGTGGGGGGGGACTTGATGTTATAGGTGAGTGTTGAAACCACAATGTTGTTCATGTGACACCTTCATAAGTTTGTATATCAATGATACTTTAATAAAAAATTAAAAAACCTTTAAATAGCCAGGATTGTCCACCTTAGACAGTCTTAAAAAAAAAGAAAAATACCCAACATTGTTAGTCATCAGGGATGTTCATCGAAACTAAAGTACAAGTCCATCACACACTGTTACACATTCATCAGAATGGCTTAAGTTAAAGTGGCTGACAATATTAAATGTGAGGATGTGGAGCTATTGGGCTTCTCATACATTGTTAGTGGGAACTTGAAATGGTATAACCACTTTGGGGAAAGGTCTAGGAATTTCTTGGAAAACTAAACATGTACCTGCCCTATGACACAGAGTTCCACTCTTTGATATGTATCAAGAGCAATGAAAATAATTTTCACGAAGAGACTTGCACAATAATGTTCACAGCCACTTTATGCATAGTAGCCCCACATAGCAAACAGCCCTGGAAGTCATCAGGAGGGCAACTAGTTAAATGGTGAAGCCACTCACTGGAACAATACTGGTCAATGATGGGATGAACCACCACCACCCACGACAAAGATATAGCTCGGAAATATTTTCCTGAGTGAAAGAAGCCTTACACAAAGGAAGTGCAGTACATGGTTCCATTTACGTGAAATTCTGCAGAAGGCAAAATAAATCTGTGTTGGAAAAAATCAGAACAGCAGATGCCTCTGAGAAGTTGTAGATGGAGAATGAATAGAAAATGACCTGAGGATACTTCCTGGGTTATGGTAGTGTTATTTACTATACATGCATGTTTTTTGTCAAAACACAAAATATGCAACCTAATACTTGGGCATTCATTGCATATAATATTATCCCATTTTTTTATTGCAGTGAAATATATATAACATAAATTTGCCATTTTAAACATTTTTAAGTGTACAATTCAGGTTCGTTAATTACCTCCACAATGTTGTGCAGCCACCAGCACTGTCTATACCCAAAACCTTTTCATCCCTCCAAACAGAAACTCTGTCCCCACTAAGCAAGAACTCCCCACTTCCCAACCCTCACCTCCTGCCAACCATTAATCTATTTTCTGTCTCTATGAATTTGCCTGTTATAGATGTCAGGAGCCCAGCTCACAAGGGAGAGAGTTGAGCTGTCAGGTGTTGGAGCAGCCAACTAGGGCAATGAGCCAAAAACGGAAGTTAAGCTTCAAACGCTTACTGCCAGGATAAAGGCAAGAGTCTAAAACCACAGGCAGCACCAGCCCCCCTCTTCTATTTCCCCCATGCAACGGTGCACCGTGGAGGGTCCAGTGCATCAGCACAGAAGTCAGGGCAGCCCCAACAAAAGGCCCTGGCAGTTTTACGGGCAGAGGATGAGGGGTGGGTGAGGAGGGAGGGCTGGGAGCGGGAAGCCCTGATGCTGAGTCAGCATGGGAAGAACACGTAGGAGCTTTCCCCTCAGCCTCATGAAGAGGCCTCACAAAGGCAACAGGAGAAGACCCCGCCCAAGGCCTCAGATAAAGAGACCTAGGAATGGAGGTGCTGGGTGGAAGTGTAAATATGTGAAAAATAAGGTGGGCCCTGGGGCATGGGGTCCTGAGTGCACCTCTCCTAAGAGACTGCAGTGCCCCAGCACTCCCCAGGCCTGCGGTGGGGATGTAGCATTCCCCAGAGCCTCTGCAGGCCCTGTGCTCAGGCCCGAAGAGTCACCCAAAGGGATTCAGCCACAAGTGGGACTCTTCACCAGGTGTTTCAAATAAGTGGAATATTACCATATCTGTCCATTTGTGTCTGCCTATTTCACTCAGCATAATATTTTCATAGCTTATCCATGTTGTAGCCTGTCTCCGAATTTGTTGAAAATCAATTGACCACAGATGTGAGTTTGTTTCTGGGATGTCTGGGCAATTCCACCAGTCTTTATGTCTATTGATATGCCAGTGACATACTATTTGATTATTGTAGCTTTGTAGTAAAATTTGAAATCAAGAAGTGTGAGTCTTCCAGCTATGTTCTTTTTCAGGATTTTTTTTGGCTATTTGGGGTCCCTTGAGATTCCATCTGAATTTTAGGTTGGGTTTTTCTGTTCCTGCAAGAAATGCTGTTGGGATTTTTTTTTTTGTATCATTAATATACACTTACATGAGCAACACTGTGGTTACTAGACTCTCCCCATTATCAAGTCCCTACCACATAGCCCATAATAGTCACTGTCCCTCGGCATAGTAAGATGCTATAGAATCACTACTTGTCTTCTCTGTGCTATACTGCCTTTCCTGTGCCCCCTCCCATTATGTCTGCTAATTGTAATGCCTCCTTTCTTTTTCTCCACCCTTATCCCTCTCTTCTCACCCATTCTCCCCAGTCCCTTTCCCTTTGGTAACTGTTAGTCCATTCTTGGGTTTTGTGAGTTTGCTGCTGTTTTGTTCCTTCAGTTTTTGCTTTGTTCTTATGCTCCACAAATGAGTGAAATCATTTGGTACTTGTCTTTCTCCACCTGGCTTATTTCACTGAGCATAATATCCTCTAGCTCCATCCATGTTGTTGCAAATGGTAGGATTTGTTTTCTTCTTGTGGCTGAATAATATTCCATTGTGTATATGTACCACCTCTTCTTTATCCATTCATCTACTGATGGACACTTAGGTTGCTTCCATTTCTTGGCTATTGTAAATAGTGCTGAGATAAACATAGAGGTGCATATGTCTTTTTGAACCTGGGATTTTGTTTCAGGTAAATTCCTAGGAGTAGAATTCCTGGATCAAATGGTTATTTCTATTTTTAGTTTTTTGAGGAATTTCCATATTGCTTTCCACAATGGTTGGGCTAATTTACATTCCCACCAACAAGAAAAAGGGCTCCCCTTTCTCCGCATTCTCAACAGCATTTGTTGTTCTTTGTCTTTTGGATGTTGGCCATCCTAACTGGTGTGAGGTGATATCTCATTGTGGTTTTAATTTGCATTTCCCTGATAATTAGCAATGTGGAGGACCTTTTCATGTGCCTGCTGGCCATCTGAATTTCTTCTTTGGAGAAGTGTCTGCTCATATCCTCTGCCCATTTTTTAATTGGGTTATTTGCTTTTTGTGTGTTGAGGCATGTGAGTTCTTTATATGTTTTGGATGTTAACCCCTTGTCTGATATGTCATTTACAAATATATTCTCCCATACTGTAGGATGCCTTTTTGTTCTGTTAATGGTGTCCTTTTCTGTACAGAAGCTTTTTATCATGATATAGTCCCATTTGTTAATTTTTGCTTTTGTTTCCTTTGCCTGAGGAGATGTGTTCAGGAAAAAGTTGTTCATGTTTATATTCAAGAGATTTTTGCCTGTGTTTTCTTCTAAGAGTTTTATGGTTTCATGACTTACATTCAGGTCTTTGATCTATTTTGAGTTTACTTTTGTATATGGGGTTAGACAATGATCCAGTTTCATTCTCTTACATGTAGCTGTCCAGTTTTGCCAACACCAGCTGTTGAAGAGGCTGTCATTTCCCCCATTGTATGTCCATGACTCCTTTTTCATATATTAATTGACCATATATGCTTGGGTTTATATCTGTGCTCTCTAGTCTGTTCCATTGATCTATGGGTCTGTTCTTGTGCCAATACCAAATTGTCTTGATTACTGTGGCTTTGTAGTAAATCTTGAAGTCAGGGTGCTGTTGGGATTTTAATAGAGAGTCCACTGAGTCAGTAGATTGCTTTGGGTAGTGCTGACAGTACTAACAAGTTAAGTATTCCTATACATGAACATGGAATATCTTTCTATTTATTTAGGTCTTTAATTTCTTTCAGCAATGTATTATAGTTTTCAGAAGGTTTTCCTTCTGCCACATATCTGTTTTCCACATATTTTATTTTATTTTTGTTCCTCAATTCTTCCATAACTGCCTTTTTATATTTGGCTGACATTATAGTGCATCATTATTATTTCTCTTTTCTTTCATTTTCTGTATATTTTTCAGTTATTTTCTTAGTGGTTGCCTTCTGGATTACAATTAACATCTTAAATTTATAACAACCTAGTTTGAATAAAACCAACTCAGTTTAAGCAGCAGACTCACAGAACCCAAGAATGGACCAACAGTTACCAAAGGGAAAGCGACTGGGGAGGATGGATGGGAAGAGAGAGATAAGAGGGAAAAAGGAGCATTACAATT